TCCAAGAGAGCACCTAGTTTTTTGAGCTCCACCTTATCCTGTTGGCATACATGACAAGTCTTCACATAGGCCTCCACATCATCCCTTATGTGCGGCCAGTAGTATCGATCCTCGATCAGTGCCAAGGTATGACTTACTCCGGGGTGTCCAGCCCACCTTGAATCATGGCACTCTTACAAAACTTCCTTGCGAAGCTTCCCATGTTACGACACAAATAGTTTACTACTCCTGGTGTACAACAAACCATTTTGCATCCAAAACTGCCTAGTCTTACCTTACTAGGCGTACTCCATAAGAGCCTTGGCTGTAGGATCATACGTAAGTCCCTTCTTGATGTGCGGTACCAGTTACCTCTCTGGTTGGCTAATGGCAGCAAGGTTAGCCTTCCTACTCAGGATGTCTACCACTAGGTTCACCCACCTTGGCTTGTACTCTATCTGTAAATCAAATTTCGTAAGATGCTTGTGCTGGAATAGAATCGGTGCACTATAGGGTACCTTCAATGACCTGATGAAGCCAGCATCAACTAACTTTTTGAGCTATTTCCTCAACTCTTCCAACTCTGGTGAAGACATTCGGTAAGAAGCTCTAGCTGATGGCTTGGCCTTGGACACCAGCTTGATCTTATGGTCCACCTCCCTCTTAGGTGGTAGCTAGCTAGGCAACTTTGTGGGCATTACATCACTAAAGGTTTTCAGCACCTTTAGCACCTTTAAGGGTAACTCGATCTCTTTCTTCCTTGGCTCATCATATTTCAGGGCTACCAAGAATGTGTCTTCTTGTTTGCTTATCGTCTTGGCAAATTGGATGGCTGACACCACTCGTGACCCAACTCTAGACCCTCTTCTCAATGGCACTAGGCATTGGCATCGTGCATCCAGGATGCAAACACAAGGAGGACGTTAATCCGAACAAAAAAATCTAACCTAATCACAAACTCATAGTTGTCAAGGGGTATTACCTCTATGGCCTCTTTACCTTTCCAATCTTCAAACTGTAACTCCACTCCCCGTGCTACTTTAATGGCTGAAACTTCCTTGGAGTTCATCGTTTTAATGGTACCAGTCTCTTTCTGTACCTTTAGTCTGAGCTTTCGGGCTTCATCACCTGAAATAAAAAGATGTGAGGCACTTATGTCCATTAGTGTGCTCACCTTCTGACCCGCAACCATCAGATCCGTAAATATCAAGCCCTTTAGCTTGTGACTCCCCTTACTCTAGACAACATTGAACACCAACGACCCAAGCTTTGCTGTCTCTGACTCTAGCTCCTCGTCATACTCTTTGTCTACAGCAGCCAACTTGCCCTTCTGCGGGTAATTACGCGCTATGTGGCTCCCTCCACATAGGTAGCATGCCAGTGGCTCTTGATCTCCTTTAACTTTTCACTTGCCTACTGGTGGCTTTTTCTCGTCATCTTTGGTTGAACGGTTTCGATCTCCATCCTTGGATTCTCGACCACAATCTTTCCCCTTGGACTACTTTTTTGGTCTTTATCGTCCCTGCCCTTACCCTTAGGCTTGGAAGACTTGAACTTGTTCAGAGGCTTGAACTCTATCAAGGTCTCAGTAGTAGTCATGGGCTTAGCCAAGTCATGAACTCCCCTCTGTTGTAGCCATGCTTCACCCACGGTTTTAGCCCATCCATGAAAACAAATAAGGCATCCTTCTCGCCTAGATTCGAGATCTGTAGTATTAGTTCAAAAAATTTTTAGACATACTTCCTTATGTCTTCTTGCTGGCTAAGTCGACGTAACTTTGCCCGTGCCTCATCATCGACATACTCTGGATAAAATTACTCTTTGAACTCTTTTTAGAACTCTGCCTAGATTCAAATCTTGGCGTTCTCATGCCTGACATCATCACACTTGCACTTCCACCACAATAAGGCTACATCAGTGAGATACATAGCAGCGGTGCTTACCTTTATCGCATCATCTTGCATGCCCATGGCCTAGAAGTATTGCTCCATACCTCAAAGGTAGTTATCTACTTTTTTGGCTGCCCTAATCCCTTTGACCTCCTTAGGCTTGGGGATATCCACTCTAGACTTGGACACTCCAGCAAACATGCCATTCCCAATGGTAGTCTTACAAGCAACGAGCTCACTGGTAAGCTCTTCCATCCGCTAGCTCATGGCCTTCATGCCATTTCGTAAGGTCAGCACTTCAACCTCAAATGCCTCATTCTTTTGGGTGATCACATCTATGCCTTTGTTGAGAGCAGCTTGAAGCTCACCTTGGATCTCCTCCCCCATGGAGTCTAATGATGCAATGTGAGTCTCGACCTCATCAAGCTTCTCCTCATTGTCGCTCATGGTCACCTTCACCTTGGTCAGCCTACCGTCCATGGTAGACCATAAGCCTCAAAGGCCCCATTCTTTTGGGTTATCACATCCATGCCTTCGTTGAAAGTAGCTTACAGCTCACCTTAGATCTCTTCCCTTATGGAGTCTAACGATGTAATGTGAGTCTCGACCTCCTCAAACTTCTCCCTCATGTCACCTATGGTCACCTCCACCTTGGCCAGCCTACCGTCCATGGTAGACCATATATCTCTTGAACTGGTTTTCCAACTAGTTTTCTATGGAGTCTAGTGATGCAATGTGAGTCTCGACCTCCTCAAGCTTTTCCCCCTTGTCGTCCATGGTCACCTCCACCTTGGCCAACCTACCGTCCATGGTAGACCATAAGCCTCAAAGGCTCCATTTTTTTGGGTTATCACATCCATGCCTTTGTTGAAAGTAACTTGTAGCTCACCTTAGATCTCCTCCCTTATGGAGTCTAGCGATGTAATGTGAGTCTCGACCTCCTCAAGCTTCTCCCTCATGTCACCTATGGTCACCTCCACCTTGGCCACCTTACCGTCCATGGTAGACCATATATCTCTTGAACTGGTTTTTCAACTAGTTTTCCTACCTCTTTCACGCCTCTGCTCTTGGGCCTTTGGTTATTGGTTAACAACGTCGCTTTGGGATGCCATCTTCTCAATCACGATCTAACCTGCACAACACAAACACGCAGAATCGAACTTGCTCTGATACCACTTGTCATGGGTCGAGACTTAAGCTCCGAATCTACGTGGTTCCAGGACCCAGACATTCACTCATCCGGTATCTCAAATTAGCCTAATCGTCACGATTCACACCTTTGTGAGGTATTGTCTGCTCTGGCCCCTCTGACCTCACGGTTTTGTCCTACAAAAGGTACTTCACAAGGTAGAGGTGGTGTGAACCCTTTTATACCCCAGTGACCCTCCTATTATATTCGATGTGAGATTTAGGACTCTTCTTTAGGTCCGTGACATTCTCTCCCAACCAACCTCGTGACATCCTCGTCATGGAGGCTAGCCACCCTACTTACCTCCCTCGAGGTGCTTGGCAAGGATCGAATGGTATAGGGCTGGCTCTGATACCACTTGTCACAGGTCGAGACTTAAGCTCTGAACCCGTACGGCTCTGAGACCCGGGCATCCACTCATTCGACGTCTCAGATCGATCTATCTGTCACGGTTCACACCCTTGTGAGGTATTGTCCGCTCTAATCCCCCTGACTTCACGGTTTTATCCTACAAAAGGTACTTCACAAGGAAAAAGTAGTGTGAACCCTTTTATACCTCAGTGACCTTCCTATTATGTTCGATAGGCAGGGTGACCAGCCTTCGTGACGAGGGCGTCACGAGGTTAAGTGAGGGAGAATGTCACGGATCTAAGGAAGAGTCCTGAATCCCACATCGAACATAATAGGAGGGTCACTGGGGTATAAAAGGGTTCACACCATCTCTGCCTTGTGAGGTACCTTTTGTAAGATAAAATCGTAAGGCTAAGGGGCCAGAGCGAACAATACCTCATAAGAGTGTGAACTGTGGTGGTTAGGCTGATTCGAGACACCGGATGAGTGGATGCCTAGGTCCCGGAGCCCCGCAGGTTCGAAGTTTAAGTCTCGACCCGTGACAAATGGTATCAGAGCCAGCCCTATACCGTTGGATCTACGCCAAGCACCTCGAGGGAGGTAGGCAGGGTGACCAGCCTCCGTGACGAGGGCGTCACGAGGTTGGGTGGGAAAGAATGTCACGGACCTAAGGAAGAGTCCTGAATCCCACATCGAACATAATAAAAGGGTCACTGGGGTATAAAAGGATTCACACCACCTCAACCTTGTGAATCGTCTTTTGTAGGACAAAATCGTGAGGTCAGGAGGGTCAGAGCGGATAATACCTCACATGGGTCTCGAAGTCACGTGGGTTCGGAACTTAAGTCTTGACCCGTGACAAGTGGTATCAGAGCTAACCTTAAACTGTTCGATCCACGTCAAGCGCCTCGAGGGAGGTAGGCAAGGTGGCCAACTTTCGTGACGAGGGCGTCACGAGGTTGAGTGGAGAAAAATATCACGGACCTAAGGAAGAGTCTTGAATCTCACATCGAACATATTATTTTGTAGGACAAAACCGTGAGGCCAGGGAGCTAGAGCGGACAATACCTCATAAGGGTGTGAATCATGGTGGTCAAACTGATCTGAGACGTCGAAAGAGTGAATACCCAAGATCGCCGTGAGATCAGGAAGTCAGAGCGGATAATATCTTATAAGGGTGTGAATCGTGACGGTCAAACTGATCTGAGACGCTGGAAGAGTGAATATCTAAATCTTAGAATCGCATGAATTTAAAGCTTAAATCTCGACCCGTGACGACGTTTAGAATTCTCAAAGCTTTAGAGTTGGGGTTGAGTTGGCGTTATCACAGATTTTTCAGAAAAATGTTTATCTGTTTATCGGAGGCAGAGGACATTTTTTTTTTTTTGCAATTTTTACTATTTTGTGTCTGAAAAAAGAAACACGTGGGAATAATGTGGAACGGATCGTAGTTTACTCAACATCGTTCAAAACCCAGATGTAGAAAGAGCGCGTGAAACTCAAGTTCGTGAAAGTCCACGAGGACCGTCTACAGAGGAAGTAGGGTGGGGGGGGGGGGGCGGGGGGGCGGGGGGCATCCCCCGATCCTTTTCTCTCTTAACACCCCAACCCAAAGGCCAAAACCTTCAAATTTTCCCTCACTTTCTCTTCCTTTCTCTTCCCATTCTCTCAAATTATTGGGTTTTCCACATTTTCCTCTTTCAAAAATAGAAAAAAAGTAAGCTCATTTAGTGTTTTAATAATAATTTCTCCAATTATTGGTTGCTGCATTTTTTGTTCTCTTTTTGCTTTATATCATTTTTATTTTTAATCCAATCATCAATTTTTTTTTATTTTTTATTTTACTTTCTTAAGTTACTGGGTCTAGGTTTTGGGAAGGTTTACAAGCTGCAATCTTTACTTCTGTGGATAGAATTTTCAGAGTGATCTTTCAACAAGTAAGTTACTTAACATTATCAAAGTTTTTTTTTTTCTATTTTTAATTGAATTCCCACCTATTTGCTTCCTGTGTTTGTGACTTATAAACTAAGGTTTTTGTTTTCCATCATTTTGTTTTGTGAATTTTATTTTAAGGTTGAATATGAACTGTTATTTTTGTACTTGGTAGGCTTTGTGGAATGTTGAGGGATTTTGATTTTACCCTACAAAGGAAAAATCTCTTAAAGTGTGATTATATTTATGCTTTAATAATGGTTTAGCTCCAATTTTGTTCAGTTTCCACCTCCTGGGTTGAGAATTATAGACAGACAGAGAATACCCTTGACTAGATATGTATAAAAGTGGAAGTATACACTAAGGCAATGCTGTTTTTTAAAAGTGAAATTTTAGAGTTCCTTTCCACCACGTTGTGATATTTTGGATGTTATTTGCATAAAATTTGAGCTAAAATATACGAAATTGGATTTGGTTTTGAAGACATTGCCCTCTCCCCAAAGTTTCGTGCTCTCTCCAACGTTGCTACATTGGTTTTGGCGTGTCTGGAGCATAAATTTTTTTCAAGTCTGAACTTTGATGGTTGCTTGCCTCCTACATAAAATGGCCAACTTATTGCATTATGTATGTACTAAAGGGCATATATATGATATTGGATTCAATATGAATAGATTGGCCAAAAGCATCCTTGCTAGGTTGTAAAAGTGGCTAGAAGAAGGGATACCTGAGCTTCTTCTCGTTACCACATAGTTGAAGCAAAGGAGGGAAAAGGAACTATGTATTCTTAATGTATCATAAATTTGTATAAATAGTCTTGATAGCTGCCGTGTTTTCCTGCACCACTTGTCACCTAAATTCTTGACCTATTTGCTTTAATTGTTTTCCCTGAATTCTTGACCTATTTTCTTTTATTGTATCTGTAGGCTTTTCCTTTCTGCTACTGATCATGGACACCCAAAGCCAAGCGGAACTTAATGGACAAAAAAGGATGTTTCCTCCGCCTCCTGGAATGTTTCATGATCGTGAGGAGCTCATTAAACATGTGCGGGATTTTGGGGCTAGCGAAGGATATGTAGTGACTATTAAGAAGTCTAGGAAGGACAGAAGAGTCATCCTTGGATGTGACAGAGGAGGCATTTATCGCAATAGGCGTAAGATTGATGAAAGTAAACGCAAAAGGAAAGCATGCTCAAGACTTATAAATTGTCCTTTTGAAGCTGTAGGTAAAAAGGAAGATGATGCCTGGGTTCTTACCATTAAAAATGGGGAGCATAATCACGAGCCTTTAAAAGATATGTCAGAGCATCCTTATAGTCGTCGTTTCACTGAGGAAGAAGTTAGGCAAATCAAATTAATGACTGAAGCAGGTATAAAACCACGTCAAGTGCTCAAGGCTCTGAAACAAAGTAATCCAGAGTTGCAGTCAACTCCAAGGCATTTGTACAACCTTAAAGCTAAGATTCGTCAAGGAAATCTATCAGGTTAGTCTCCTGTTATTTTTTTTTTATTTCATACTTCTATTTTAAATTGAAATAAGCTGTAGAATCTCTACTTTAACTTGGCCTCTCCTGTTGCTTGACTGGTAGCTGGGTTGAGATTGATTGCTTTGCATTTTATCATCAAATGTCAGATAATACCAGGTAGCTGTTTTACGATTCTAATAGGAAGAAGATAAGCCGTTTTTTATTTTCTTTATAGGATCTACAGTTTGCGGAGTTTGGAACTATATATTTATCGTATGAGTATAACTTGCTAATATTCTGAATGAAGTTCATAGTTACCCTCAAATTCTAGTGGCAGCTTAATTCTATTATTTATCTGATTCTGGGATTTATGGTAATTATAGCGTACAAGACTTAGATATGTAGTCAAAGTGGAGAGAATCAAAGTTGCACAATAGATTGACAAGCTTGTCTATTGAGGTTGAATGGGTTTGAGGCAGCATGTTCTATTATAGTGATTGTTTACATTCTAATGGGACAAGTGAGGATGTTAAACAATAAATCTATTCAGTCCTATTTAGAGACATAATCATGAAAATAAGTTTATTTTTCATTTCTTGACAATCTTCTTTACAGTAGATATGTTTTCTTGTAGAGAAAAGTTTCAAATCATGGAGGCCTAGCAGATCTGTTCCTGTAAACTCTAATGGCTCTTCCACTGGAGAGTTGCTAAAGCAAAACAACCAGCCGGTGAGTTTTGGTGTGAAAGAAGAACAAGTGATGTATGACATTTTCCTTTACTGTTTTGATTTCTTGGACTTTGTGTATTTTTTGTGTGTTTCTGCATTAGGTGACGTGCTCATGTTTGTTCTTTATACTCAATCATTCTGGGATTTCTATAGGTAATGGTTCCTAATTTTATTGGAGGGAAATTTGTGGATTCACTAGGCTCCATGGTCATTGATGCAATAAATCCTGTAAGTGCATGAGCTAAATTCGTCATTTTGCTCTTTCTCATCCTCTTTGATGCATATATCAAAGACCTTTTAACTAGGCAACACAAGAGGTTGTTTCTCAAGTTCCTTCAACTACATATGAAGAGTTCAAAGATGCAGTTAATGCAGCCAAACTAGCTTTTCCCTCATGGAAGAATACACCAGTTACAACTCGCCAGCGCATCATGTTCAAGCTCCAGGAGCTCATCCACAGAAATATTGTAGGGATAATAGAATTTGTTGTTATTATTCATTAATTTATTAATTTTCATCTTAAATTAATTTTCTTGTGCACAATCTTTGGTTATTCCTTGTTCTCCCCAGGATAAGCTTGCAATGAATATTACAATGGAACAGGGCATGACATTAAAGAGTGCTCATGGTGATGTGTTGCATGGTTTAGGTAGTCTCTGTGGATGCTGTATTGATTTTGTTCCATCATTTTAAGAGATCGGTAACAACCAGCCCCAGGTCATTAGATTTTATTTGTTGCTTTGTTATTTTGCATGTAGAGGTTGTTGAACATGCTTGTGGAGTGGCAACTCTGCAAATGGGGGAGTTTGTCCCAAATGCATCTAATGGAATTGATACATTCTGTATTAGAGAACCACTTGGTGTTTGTGCTGGGATATGTGCCTTCAACTTTCCTGCAATGATCCCTTTGTGGGTACGTTTGCCTGCTGCTTGTTTTCTTTTTTGGGTTTTGGTTCTTCATCCCTTACTTGTTTAGATATTGTATGTTGTAAGCTTCTGAACATTGTCGTGCTTTCTCTTTTTGTTTACTTAATTTTCTCGGTTATCTTATGCATTTAATCATTCACCTACCATGATAGACTATTCAAAGTCGGAGATGAGGCTGATTTGATAGTTTGCCAGTTGCCTCTTGTTTACTGTACATTGTAGCTTGTCTATTTTTTTAAGCTCTTCTTATTCCAATTATGAAACTTGCTTTGTGCCTCTCATAGTTCCTTGTTTTGACATTTGTGTATCTTTTGCAGATGTTTCCTATTGCAGTTACATGTGGCAATACATTTGTTCTTAAGCCATGCGAGAAAAATCCAGGTGATTTGAACCTTTGTTTCTAGTCTGTTCTAATTTTGTTTTAAACAGGGCTGTGGAAATTGAAACTTAATTTTCTGATGCAGTACAGTTTTAGAATATTTCCTAATGAACAGATGAAGTGACCATCCCTTTATATTGGCCAAAACTAGATTTTAGTTAATAAGGTGGTAAAGTTCTGTGATCAAAGTAATATCTTATGGCTCCATGTTTTGTAAAGGTTGAAGGTTTCTTCTAAGTATTCATATATCAAGGGAACATGTAAAATACGCATTTCTTACCCTTGTTATTTTTCTTTCTATCAGATATTTATATTTAAGTGGAATGAAATTATTGACCAGATATACTCAAAATAGAAAAAAGAAGTGTATAAATATACTAATTATTGAACAATCCTTGTGCCTAGATAGTATTTGATAGTAATTCTGGTATCTTATTGAGTTACTCCAATAACTTATTAATGTTTACAACATGTTGCATTAAAATGTGTAATTACCTGTAAACTTGTTGAATTCATTTATTTATGGACATCTATGTTTCTTGTTTTTGTCATGTTATATGTGTTAATGTTGTCAAAACCTTTTCCTTTTCCTCCTCCAGGGGCTTCAATGATCCTTGCAGCACTAGCAAAGGAGGCTGGTTTACCTGATGGTGTCTTAAATATTGTTCATGGCACCAATGTATGCTTTACTGCTTAGGAGCCTTCGTTTTTTTGGTTGTTAAACTTACCATTGTAAACTTTCTAGAGGAATGAATTGAATATTTCATGATTATTACATATATGTTACCTAAGAAAGTCTATCTTCCATGTGTAGTCATTGTGGTTGAATTAGGCTTTGCAATAAGGAGGTCATGTATTGTAAGGCATTTACTTGTCTACTCTTCTGGATGGCAATTATTCATACAGAACCTTCTAGCTCTAATTGGGGAGAATTAGTCCTGAGTTGGATGGGTTTAGACAAAAACTAGTCCAAATATTTCCTTCATATTTATCTTCTAAAATACCTTACTGGTTCCTTATGTTTATTGTGGGGCTCTCTGTCCCTTGCTTTCTTTCTGTCTACTTAGGGTTTTCCCCCATCCTATTTTCAGTCAACAAACAGCTTCTTTATCTTTTGAAGCACAAGCCAATTACAAGATATTGCTCATTCTTGTGCATTAAGTAGCCAATATTTGGATAAAGAATGAAAAGTTAAACACTGGGTTCAAATCAATTAGTCTCTGATCTATATTTGATCCAAATTGCATCATTTACATGAGTTGAGATAGTCTTGCTTCAGTGGAGGGGATGTTGAATTTCTAGGTAGCAGCAGTAGATTTAGGCTAAAGCCTAATGCTGAAATGGTTGGTTTGTGGATGGGGCTCTTTCATTAGTCATGTTGGTGGTAATTATTGCCATTGCTATGAATCCTTAGGCATTTCAGGAATTTGACAAGTTTTAACTTTGGTTTCATCATTTGATCCATTAGCCTCGCCCCTTAGGTGGTGTTATCCTCTTAATCTAATCTGCATTAGCATTGTGTTGCCTATATGATTTTCAGTGCTTCATTATGTCTGGTAGAGACAAATCATGAGAGGAATTTGAGCCTCTTGCTAAATAGGATTTCTCCATGTTTGATTGTAGCTGGTGTAGTAATGTGCTGGAAATAAACTCCTAAACAAGTAATTTGCACTATAACATTCAAGTGTGCAACTTGTTCTTTAAGATTTCATGTCATATATCCCGAGAGGTCCCTGGCAGCCTCTCTAACCTTGACTGGGATTTTTTTGAAAGGGACTGGACTAGAGTGCAAGACCCACTGCCATCTCTACCTGAGAAACTTTGTTAACATAATCTTTTCCATTCTATTTTTTCCCTAAATTCTGATATCCTTTTTTAAAATTTCTTTTACTCAACTGCTGAGAGTTCCTGTCTATGTTTTTAATTTATCTCTAACTAGATGTTTGTCAATATGCAGGATATTGTTAATTATATTTGTGATGATGAGGATATAAAAGCTATATCGTTTGTTGGTTCAAACACGGTAAGTTAATTCTCTGAATCTGGTTCCTGTTTACAGCAATGCATGAAGATATGCTTTTACCTTATGCCTTTGGATTTTACTCTTAGATATTTGCCAAATACATGCATAAAGTTGCACTTGTTAATAGTCATTCTTGGTGACTATTGATTTTCATTTGAAAAATTTACTGGACTTCCATTTGCTAAAATCTGATACACTCTCTGTAGAATGTCATTGAGCCATTCCAAAATGCATATATTGACCTTTCTTTCACGATTACCCATATAAAGAGTTTTTTTGTTCGTACAACTACAGAAAATACTTTGATTAAAGGTTTAGTGTGGTCTATTTGACTAATGAGACACTCACTCTATCCAAAATTTCTTTTGAAAGAGCCATTGATTATGGGAAGAGGGACTATTTACTAATCCCCTCCATTCTTGGTGACATATTTGCTGTGTAAAGTGAAAAATGTTGCGAGTCTTATATTCTGCTTTTGTTTCTTTTTGATAGGAAATCAACATTATAAACCTGATAGATGTACTCAGAAATTACAGTGGACATTGTTAAGCACGTGACTCCTGTGCTTCATGCCAAAATTCATTCCATTTTTAATGGATTCCCTCCCTCCCTTTTATTGAGTGAGAAATTTTTGAAAATCTATGGGGACCTCATTCTCAATTTAAACTTATTTCAATCTCCTGATAAGAATTTGTGAAAGGGGTAAAGTAAACTTGAAACAAGCTTCAACACAGAGCCATATAAACAATATTTTGAGCTGAAACACTTTACTTTAGGGTTTTAACTTACGATTCAACTTCCAATCTCTTATGTCCACCCTGCTCCCCCCCGCCCAAAAAAAAAAAAAGATGAAAGAAAAATCCAATTTGTGGCATCAGTTTTTGTTGATTGATTTATTATACTTAACCTTTTCAGTTTTCTTCTATTTGTAGGCTGGCATGCACATATATGCTAGGGCTGCTGCTAGAGGGAAACGTGTTCAGGTAGATGTTGTCTCTCTCTCTCTCTCTCTCTTCCCCCCTCCTCTAGGTTTCTGTTGTTGCTAGATTTGATTGAAAAGATTAAATTTGCATAAAATAAGCAGTTAACTGATTCTTGTGTTGACTTTTTAGTCCAATGTAGGTGGCAATAATCATGCAATTATCATGTCTGATGCAAGCATAGATGCTACTTTGAATGCCCTAGTCGCTGGGGCGTTTGGAGCTGCAGGGCAGAGATGCATGGGTCTAACTACAGCTGTTTTTGTTGGAGGTTCAATACCATGGTATTATGATTTCTTTACCAGGAATTATTTGCTTTCCCCAGCTACCAAATTGATTATAGCTTGACTGATTAGTTTGAATTCTAGTTACATCAAAATTGCTACTTGTTAATTATTTGGATGTCTATAGTGCAACTCAGTTAGGTCGTCAATTTCAACCACTTGACTTTGATCTCAAGTTGTTTTAGGAAGTTATAAAGCCTGTTGATCAACGTTGTGCAGCAAGAAGGGAAAAAATTGCTGTTCCTAAGAATTTCTTAGGTCTGAAAATTTTCTGTTTATGGACATATAGGAGGAAAAAACCTACAATGGATGTGAATCCAATTTGCTCGATATTATCATTTTTGTTGCCTTCAAGAATTCCTCTTTCGAGTTTAGTGAACACTTATCTTTGGCTTATGGTAAAGAAAGGGTTGGTTGATCAATTATAGCAAAAGCTTAAGTTGATAGTAAATGATCCAATTTTTTTATATTTAATTTCTAATACACTCCTTTAGTCCTTTACATGCAAGCTAGATAAATAATGAATGGACTTTGCACATGGGCCAAAGTGTGGAAGAAATCTGCAATATGGCACATATGTGCATGGTTAGGTTTAATGGGCAAGACACTGGGTGAAGAATTGATGGAAAGGGGTGAAGTTCTGAGGGTTTGAATGTGAGACCTGTGCTCTCATACCATATAACAAAGATTGTAGAATAACCAATTATCCCAACATTTTGAGCAAATACAAAAGGGTTGAACGTTTATATTAATGTTCTAAGAGGTTTTATTTTGATTTACAAAATCTAATTCAAGCCTCTATGTTAACAAAACAGGACTAACATATTTGCATGGTCATTATACCTTAAAAGTCTTCCAAAAATTTACCAATAAACTTTAGATTTAAGCAAAGTTATCTTCTTGTGAGGTGAACAATTTTATGCAACACTTTTCCTCCTTAAAAATTATATCTTTTGTCTTTTCCTCCAGCCCATGGTTGAACACTCATGGAATTAATATGTTTGTTGATAAGTAGAAAGGTGTAACAGTATCTTTAATGAAATAAAAACTAATTGATGCAAATAAGAAGAATTATTTTAACTCGAGCATCTTCCTAACACATTCAGGGAACGAGGACTTATGCAGCGTGCCAAAGCACTTAAAGTGACTGTAGGGTCAGATCCTGGTGCAGATGTTGGCCCAGTGATTAGCAAAGAGGTAAAAACCTAGCTTCAAGACTTTTCAAATTTAATCTGCATTCTGCTAAAAATTTCTGGGGAAGTCAAAACATGCGTCCGCTGCTGGATTACTTTTGCATGTTTCTTGTATCATGTGTGCTTTGGATGCACACAATTATTGTCAATTTTATCTAATTTTTTTATTTACTTATTGCTTGTTGAGATCTCACAGGTAAAGGATCGCATAAACAGATTAGTTCAAAGCAGTGTTGATAATGGTGCTAGACTTCTTCTTGATGGGAGAAATATTGTGGTATTTATTTACTCCAGTCCTTTTCTAAGCAATTATACTATTTTTGGAATACTAACATTTGTTGGATACACTTTCTTCATCCTGCTTGATATGCTTGCCTTGAGGGCTAAATCTGCTTTGTTAGATTTTCAAGAAAAACTGCAGCATGCTGTTGGTGTCCAATGACTGACTAATGACTTCTATACACTACCCATTATTAGAGATGTTTTTAAATATAGTTTATAATAACAGCCGCTGGTTGCAGACATATGTTATTCCATCCATTCAAATAGCAATTATTTAACTGATAATAGCAGAAGTTTGCATGTGATGTTAAGACTTTTCAACATTCATTCTGCCGATTAATAGTGTAATTCAAGGTTTATCTTTATTTAAATATTGTTATTGTTTCCAGACTACTTCTTGGTTTAGTGCATTTTGTGCTGTTTTCCTGCCTGATAGTTTCTTGCTTGTCTTTTCCCGCGTATGTTTGTTACAGTTCTTCTAATTGAAATATATTCATTCGGGAGGTCCTGGACTTTGATTTAAATAGTTTCTACAGTTTTTTTTTTTTCTCTGCTTCTATGAACCTGGCTTCTTGAGAACCTAACTTGAAATGTTCTCGACTCTAATTTTGTAGGTTCCTGGATATGAGAATGGGAATTTTATTGGTCCTACCATAATATGTGATGTTGCCTCCAATATGGAATGGTACAAGGTATTCTCTTTTTTTTCCGGTGGTTCCAGTTCTTTCATTTTTTATAATGAATGAACTTGAACAGTTTATGATTGTCAATGGAAGAAGAATTAACTCAAAGACCTTGGCATATTCTTGACCACACTATATCTTGTATTGAGCAGGAAGAAATGTTTGGACCGGTTCTCCTTTGTATGCAGGTATCATGTGCTTTTACTTCTGCGTTAGTATTAAACACATGGAGTTGGTTGGACTTTAGCTAACAGCTTTCATGTCTGCAACAACCAACAGGTCGAGAGCCTAGAAGAGGCCATAACCATTGTAAACAGAAACAAGTACTTAACTCTAGTCTCTTTATCTCATTTGGGGCTTTGAATTTTATATTTCAACATGTTATCACATCTTTCTACTCGGGCATGATCAATGCAGGTTGGCATGGAGTAATCCATGTTTAGGGAAAATTAGCATTTGCCCCTTTGTTTTTTAGCAGTTACTGGTTTTTCTGTGTGTGTGTGTGTGTGTGTGTGTATATATGTATATTATGCTTACTCCTTCAATTCACATGTTCCATCCACCCACACACACACATATATCTTCTTCCCCTGCTAATAGGCATTTCTTTGGGGAGAAAGTGTGGTTTCAAAGAGTATGAAGGTGTAAGTTTTGCATTGGCTTTTTCTAAGGTTCCCTTGTATAAAGTTATATTTTCCTCCCTTTGTCCCTTACTTGCTAGACTGAAATTAATTGTACATCATGCCAATTATTTGCTGACAACTGCTAGATATTTTTGCTTGTTGTCGTAAGAATGGTGTTTTTCTCTTAAACCCTGAGAAGAATTTTACATCTGGGAGTGGGTGTATTAAGATTCAGGGGCAATAACAGTTTTATTTCAACTATGCATTTTTCTCATAGATGTTGAAATTCACATCTAAAGTTTGTAGACTTGTTCATCTCCAACTTTTATTCACATTTGGCTAGTTCCATAGGTCTGTGAATGGAGCCTTTATATTCACAACATCTGGCTATGCTGCAAGGATGTTTCAGAATGAAATTGAGTCTGGGCTGGTAAGTACATTCTTTTGTTTGACATCAGATGATAAGGACCTGTTTTATGCTGGCTTTCTATTTGCCATAAAGTGCTTCTAACCTGAGAGAGCCATTGCCAGTCTCTCTTAAACCTTTCTCTCTCCAACCAAAAAAAAAAAGTGCTTCTAACTTGCAAAAGTGCTCAAATGATTTTTTGGTTACATTGTCTGAAGCTTTTAAAGCGGAAGTAGTAGATGTTTTGATCCAAAAGCACTTATCTGCTTGGAAAAGCTCTCTGTTAAAAATTGGTTTACTTGAAAATCTAAGTCACATGAAATGGGTTGCATGTTTTTAACTGTAGAAATGTGTTGCGTGGAGATCTTTTTGCTGTCCATAGATATTCATGCCTTCTTATTACAATGTAACTTTATGGCTCAAATTATGGTCTTGTTATGATGTAAAACCTGTCTATCTCTAAATATTGAGTCTCTTGATTTCTTATTCATACTCTTCAAAGAAACCATGTGGGTCTGCGGAGAGGGGCTAAAACATTTGGCCTGAGCTTACTATGGTATTGTACAAATATTTCGTATAAATTTCTACAAGGAATCCAACTAGTGCACTTTTTCCTAGTGCAAATGCTTCACTTGTCGCGAAGAGGCTTTGATACTTGGAGAAGTGATGTAATTACCTTAGACAATGGCCATTGTGGCTTAACTCTTATTTAAGCCCTTTTGTGATCGATGAAGTAATTGTCATTGTCTAACTTGAAATGTGTACGTCTCAGGTTGGGATCAATGTTCCTGTTCCTATTCCAATGTCTCTTTCCTCTCTTAATGGACCAAAAACATCTTTTGCTGGAGATCTTAATTTTTGTGGTCTGACCTTGTCTTCCCTTTTTCCTTGTTACTGTTAGTTTACAACGTATTCTGGAATGCAATTCTATAATTTTTTTTCTCCTGTTTATAATTGCAGGAAAGTCAGGTGTGGATTTTTACACCCAGATCAAAGTGGTGGCACAGCAGTGGAGGGATTTACCAAGCCTAGGAGCATCCTCAGGTTTGCATCTATCATCTGAGACAGAAATGACAAGCCGGGGGGTCTCTTCAGCATTGCCACCATCAACAGAGAGAGATTCACCGTACCAAAGAGTTTCGCCAGCCATGTCACCAGAATCAGAGGGTAATTCACCTAATCATGCAATATTGCTTTCTATTACTGCAACTTCAGAAAGGGATCTATCAAACCCAGCAATTACATCTCTGCCTCCAACTGCTGATGGTGATTTGCCAAATCATGGAGCATCTCTTGTTATACCTCCGACAGCAGATATGGATTTGGAAAGCCAAGACACGTCCCGAACTATGCCATTAGGAAGAGATCAATCTGAAAGAATTTATACACCTCAAACATCACGATGGAATGAAACTACGACATTAGCATCTCAAAGAACTGAGTCTGTTCCTCCACCCTCTGAGAGGATTTATATACCCATAACGTCTCAGAGGAATAGTAACGCAGCTCCAACAGTTCATAGGTCAGACACGGCAACAGGTTTAACTCACGAGCGAGTATTTGTGCCAATATCTCATAAAAATGACAGTATGGTTATGGTTCCCATTTCACATAGGAGTGAAAGCATGTCTCCAACATCCGAGAGGATTTACATGATGGCAACTTCTCACTTGAGTGACAGCATGGGTCAAACGTTTCAAAGAACTGATGCCCCTATGTTTCCAACTTCTGAAAGGATATATGTACCCGCTACTCCTCACAGAACTGACCACATGGGTTCAACCTCTCGGGCTGATGTTGCATTACGACCAGCCTCCGAGAGGTTATACATGCCTGCAACATCTCAGAGGAACGATAGCATTGCTCCGGCATCTCACCAGACTGATACAATGCCACAAAATTCCCAGAGCATGTATATGCCTCGAATTGTTCAGAGGAATGCTGGTATGCCAACAACTTCTGAGAGGTTATATATGCCTGCAACATCTCAGAGGATGTTTGCTCAAAATACAATAATTTCAATGGATGATTATCCTAACCAAGGACCACCTATGAATTTGCCTGCCTCACAGAGGATATAGGATACAACTGTTTCTTCCTTTCTCTTTTAGGTACCTTTGTAGACAAATGATATGGTAATAATGCTAGTTCAGGTTTCTTTTTCAGTAAAAAATTTCTGTCAAAATTCATCTTCAAGTTTTTACTAGAAAAGCAGAGGTTGTGACTAAACCCCTTTTCATTCAAAAATTTTACCAAATGAAGTCTTATTATCCCTTTAACTCATCGAATTGGGTTTGATATTTTTAACAAAAAAATAAAAATTTATATGAAATAATTACCAAAAAGAAAAACTACGAGGTCGTAAATTAGTACGTTAACCTAAAATAAAGGAGCAACAACAATTTTCCCCTTTCTCTTGTCATGGTTCAAGTTACAACAGTGACTTTCTGAAAAAAGAAAACTCCAGACTCATAGAATAGAGAGAGAGAATGCTATGCACGCACAGACCTTGGGTACAAGCTAGTACTAGTAGTTATCCTCCACAGTCGAAACAACTAAATCAAAGTTCCAATTTTTCAATCACAAAAACAAAGACTCAATTTCAGAGAAAGTTTCTTCGCAACAGATTAAACGATATTGAAGTTGATGATATTGATGATGATGACGGTGGTTCTGGGTTGTTGAGATTTGCATTGACGGCCCATGTTAAATCCATTACTAGCACTTCTAACCCATTTGTAAAACACTGTCTTAAGCTCAAAAACAGCTCTTCTTATCGCCACTCTAATGGTTCTGCTCTTGTTGTCGGCACCACTTCTATCAGGTAACTTTTCTATTCAAAGTTCTTGCTTTGGGTCTCTTTGAATTTTCAGTTAACTGCCCAAAACCTCAAATGGGTTTCTTTTATTTTATGCTATTTGCTTTATGGTACTTCAGTTGCTTAGGTAGAAGTGGAGAAAGAAGGAAAGAACGAAAAGATAAGAGGAAAAGTCCAATAGAGGGTGCAGTTTTTGCTACTTCACTAGCTTGTAGGTGTTCTTTTAAGGATTAAGAAACTTAGAATTTTTGTCTTTGGCAGTTGGTAGCGTCTCAGCTAACTAGAAATACAGTTGTTCTGTTTCCTAGTGAGATTCTTAGTTTTCTCTGCCAATAGTCTTGTTGCTAAATAGCGTGTTCTCAACCGAGAATGGAATTGGGGCCTGACCTTTAGGTTACAGACCTATGTCAGATAATGAGTTTGTTGCCTAGCCAAACAAAAAGAAAAAAGGTTTCTTGCCTTGTTGATATATCAGTTTTGATTCTGAACCTAGAAACTTTCAAGGAACTGTAACTTTGTGGTTGTCATAGGTTCCTTTATGAAATAATAGTTTCACACATCAATATTTACCGATAAATTACTCTACCTGGTTAGATCCGTTGTTAGTCCAGCCTTTTTCTTTCATTCTTCCTTGTTCTTTTTGGTTTATAATTCTCATTACCTATAGGACCTCTTCTTTTAAGAGCTTAGGATCTGGCATTTGTCTGGTTAACCTTGTTACTCATGGTAGGTGCCTCGTATCAAAGTTGTTCCACTCTTTACCTCTTTATGTTAGTTGTTTGAAACTCAAGTCTTTGCCCATCAGCTGGAGGCTATATTGAGGTGGGCTTAGTATCTTTCTTAGTTTTCAGATGATTATTTGTAGAATTGCTGGAAGTCCTAGAGCCTGTCCATGAAGTTCTTGTGGTAAGAGAGGTTGTAATGATTTTTTCCTTTATTCTTTCATGCACTGTTATGTACACCTTGTAACTCATTTGAATTTTCCTTATTTCCCTCAAGCCATCATGTTTATCAAAATTATCCAACTTGGCAGACATAAAAGGAAATTGGGGATGAAGTTGGACATGTAAAGTTAGTGGTTCATATGTTGCATTTTCAGGGTAGTCACTTATTTCTTTTCCACTTTTTCTGTCTGGCTAAGCAAGAGCTGTTATGATGTAATCTTTTGCAGGGAAATATACAGGTATGAAGAGGCTTCACAAGAGAAAACTGTAATGGATTGTTTGCTACTACTTGACAAAGCTGAGATTCCTGAAGGACTAGATACTGACTCTGTTCGTATTGTGCGTATAAACACTATGGTAATGAAAAAACTTTCTGGGGTGCAATCGGCTGAATCTATTGAGGCGATTGCCTTAATGAGGTTACCTACCAGTTTCTTAAATTTAGATATTGATCAAAATACATTAGATTGTCGAAGGTGGTTCCCATCCACATATCGAATTCTAGTTCTCGATGGCATTCAGGTGATTCTCAAACTTTTGACAAGCAGGATTTTTGTCCCCTTCTGAGGGTCCTGTTGAGTGGAGATAGTTCCTGAATTGTAGTTATTGGGTTTGTCTTCTCTCTCTATTAACTTGAAGTAATTATTTGAATTTCTTTTTAAGCATCTGGAGGAAAATCATGCAATCACGAAAGTTATGCTTTAAGATGTACCCAAGAAAAAGGTGGTTTGTTGGGTTCCCTAATTTGCTTGTCAAAGCTTTCTCTCAATAACCTTATTGTTATGGGATATCTGCTGGAACTCTAACATTCTGTTTCTTATGTAATGTCAACTAATTAAATTTGTAGGCAGAAAATCTTGTGCAAATAAAGTATCAAATACATTGAATGGCTCTTTAAGTGCTTGCTTTTATCTACCTTTTTGTGCCATCTACGGACATAACTTTTAGTTTTCTTTAACACTTGATATACACACTGATTCAATGATATAATCATGCAATGTCATTTAATCACAAAGTGATAACTGCAGGCATTTGATTTGAGGGATCTTCTGGACATGTGAATCTCTAATTTATGAGAAATTAATCCTGCAGGACCCTGGTAACCTTGGCACGTTAGTCAGATCAGCTACGGCCTTTCAATGGGTAAGGAATACATTTTTAAACATGAGAGTTCACATTTCTTTTTATCACCTTCTTGTTATGAACAAATTTTCTATTTCTCTTAATTATTCATACACTGATACACATGCATGGTTAGTTACTTCTACTGCAATTTGCTGGTAAAGTTAAGTAATAATTTCTTGCAGCTGTCGATGAAATATATATTCACGCTAATTTATTAACTGGTTTGAAACTTTTCAACATGCCTGCCATGAAGATACGCACTGTTGGGTGTATGTTCGATGCATTATCTAGAGGGACATGCATGCAAGTAAACGTATGTTATTTGTTGACACACACAAATTCCAATTCTGGTACTTTCACTCAGTTACTGGAACCAACAATCAAAGGGTTGAACTTATGGGTCAACATAATATTTTTGTTTCAATCATAGTCAGATATCCTTCATTATTTCTTTTCTCTTTATCATATCGAAATGTCTACATTCCATTATTGCAGAAGATTCTGATATTCTGATCGATATCCAACAGGATGGTATATTTCTTCTTCCTGGTTGCTGTGATCCATTCAATGAGAAGGCACTCAGAGCAAGCCGGGGATCCTCCTTTCAGCTGCCTATAGTGTCAGGCAGCTGGTACCATCTTCAAACCCTCAAAGATACATTAAACATGAAGATGGTAGCTGGCCATCCAGACAGTGATGGGAAATTGAAAAAGGTGTCTTCCCTATCTAAAGAGTTCGTACACTCCTTATCGCATGTTCCATTATGCTTGGTTTTGGGAAGTGAAGGGCGTGGCCTTTCAGAGAAATCTCAGCAGGAATGTGAGCTTGTGAGCATTCCTATGGCAGGAGAATTTGAGTCTCTCAACGTTTCTGTTGCTGGTGGGATTTTCTTGTACATGTTACAGCCAAAGAACTAGAATTTTAACTTTCTCATTATTTTCATTAATGCTTAATTCAATACTGATCGTTTGATTCTCCCTCTGATGTTGATTTTCTCATGAATAAAAAATTAATGATAAATCTTATTTGCAGTCAGAATTTTGTTCATTGCAGCAAAAAATTTATAATTTTTTCATTACAAAATTACCTTTATAATGCATTACGTTATTATAATAATTAATTGCTCTTTGACAGAAAAATTTTTAATCTTTTAGAAAATGCAGTCTGGTGATCTTGTATTTTACTTAGCTGAGATGTAAGTAGGGGTGAAAATGATATGAATCGAATTCGATTTAATTTTTTAAAATATTACATAATATTATAAATTTTAAAAATTTTATCTAAATCCCAATTTACCCTTCTTTCATGGTTCATACAATTTGATTTGAATAGAATATAATTTTATTTATTCAGTTCAATTTATTGATTTTTTTATTTTTATATATTATTTAAATATAAAATTGTAATATATTTAAATAGATTTCGATATAAAATTATTTATTTTATTTTATAAAAATTTAAAATATATATAAAAATTAATAAAAATATATTTTTATTTTTATTTTTTTATTCCAATTTAAAATCCAATTCAAATTTAATATATTTATTAAATATTTTAATTTAATTCAAATTAAATAAAAAAATTGATTCGAATCAAATTAAATATTATAATTTTAAATCAAATTTTTTTTATCTTTTTTAACCCCATGTGGTGTGTGATGTTGGCTATAAAGATTATAATATAAATCATAAAATATTTATGTGGCTGTATTGAGCAATTTTTTAAAAATTTAATTTGAAATATGACCGCAATTTAATGGTACTTGCGATGTGTAAAATTGTAGCTACAAATAGAATTTTTCAAAATTATTTGTTCGGAGTAGCGTAATCTTATGAATAAAATCAAAGGATAAAAAAAAGATAAAAATCCTAATTTAAATAAATAGATAGATTTGTTTTAAATAAATTTGATTTCAATTTAAAATTTGAAATTCTAATTAAATCGGATTAAGATTTCGGCGTACTTACCATAAAATAGAGTGTCCGAATCTCTGAATTGAGAATTTTGGAAAAAAATATGAAACAAATTTTAAAGACACATTTAAGCAATTAAAAGTTAAAAAGTTAGCTAAAATATCTAATAAAATAGTAAGTATTGACTATTCAGAAAAAAATTATTTCATCAAAAATTGTAAATTACTGTATTAAGCAGTACTGCTTTTTACCAAGTTACCGGCAGTATATGTCAGTTTTACTGTCTGGAACGAGCAGTGATTTTTCAGGTGTTAGATACAAGCACGAGTGAAAATTCCGTACACAAAAACCAGAAGAAAATCGTTGCTTTTTTTCCTCCCTCACTCAATTCTCCCTGCCACCGTCGTCGCCACTCCAAGAGAAAAGTAAACCTCCAAAAGTCGCCGGAATCCACTGCAATCCACCGGCGATGATAGCCGGAAAGCAACAGTTACAGCAATCTCAGCTGTTTTCTCTAAAGGGGTCCATCCTCACTCTCTCTATTCTGACCCTAATTTCCTTCACTTACTTGTCCTTCAAATCCCTCCGCCCTCCACTCCCTCTCTCTCCTGCCACTCCTCAGCTCACTCTCCTCCCCTTCACCACCACCTCCACTCCTCCCTCTCCCGCTCGTATATTTGCCAGCAAAAAGGAAAACAATGTCGGTGAAGGAGAAGATGACAACGACGAAGACGACGATTTGATTACCGATGTTTACCATTCACCGAAGCTTTTCAAGTTGAATTTCGAAGAAATGGAGAGGAAATTCAAGATTTACATTTACCCGGACGGTGATCCGAAAACTTTTTATCAAACTCCCCGGAAACTCACCGGTAAATACGCCAGCGAAGGTTACTTTTTCCAGAACATTCGCGAGAGTCGGTTCCGAACGGAGAATCCACATCAAGCTCACCTCTTTTTTATCCCAATTTCTTGTCACAAAATGCGCGGCAAGGTAAATCAAGAAAAAAAAAATTTTTATTTATAATTAAATCTAAATAAATTACTCGATTTGGAAACTGATTTTTGTTAGAACGGCTAACGCAGGGCACGTCGTATGAGAATATGACAATAATTGTTCAGGATTATGTAGATAGTTTAATAGCTAAATATCCTTATTGGAATAGAACACTAGGTGCCGATCATTTCTTTGTTACCTGTCATGATGTGGGTGTTCGTGCAACGGAAGGAGTTCCCTTTCTTGTAAAGAATGCCATTCGTGTTGTCTGTTCTCCAAGCTATGATGTTGGTTTCATTCCCCATAAAGATATTGCTCTCCCTCAAGTTTTGCAGCCATTTGCTCTTCCGGCTGGTGGAAATGATATTGAAAATAGGTAACATAAAATCCCTTCTTTTTATAGAAAGGGCTTTATAGTTAATGCATTGTTGTTTCTAAAATAGCTTGTAATCGGTGCTCATAACTCATAAGTACTCGTTATTAAAATGGTAGGGAATATAAATTCGTTGCTTCATGCTAATTAGAAGCAGGTTTTGCAGGACTTCGCTTGGTTTTTGGGCTGGTCATAGGAACTCAAAGATTAGAGTTATACTGGCTCGTGTGTGGGAGAATGATACTGAACTTGACATTTCGAATAATAGAATAAGCAGGGCTACTGGACATTTTGTGTACCAGAAGAGGTTTTACAGAACTAAATTTTGCATATGCCCTGGTGGCTCTCAGGTCAATAGTGCTCGCATAGCTGATTCAATCCATTATGGATGTGTTCCTGGTAAGCATTCTCAACTACTTATGGTCGCTGCAGTGAAGGAGGATTTAGAAATTCGTATTTTGTTAGCTGCTTATTGCTTGCATAACGTTGCATGTGGATTGCCAAGTTATAGGACTAGGATGGCAACAAAAGTGGGGAGGAACTGAGAACTACAAATACAAATAGGAGCGAGGAATTTGAAACAAAATACATAAATGGAATAAGTTTATATCTTTGGTTCTTTACTATGCTGTATAGGAAGTGATTAGACTTCCTTTTGGTGATATAGAGGACCTCTACTGAAATACCAGTGAAAAATTAGATATTGTGATTAAGCCTGTACGAAAAATTAGAATATACTTGTAGAGATAGAATGATAGGATTGCTCCTAAATCATTTTTCAAAAGCTTCTATTCACATAAAAACTTGGGATTATCTCTGTTACTATGACAGATGTTGCAGGACTTATTTAGCTTCCCAGCACAATCTAGGAGTGTTGATTCTCAAGTTTGTCATAAAATTTCTTTCCCTCACTGAATTATCCAGTTTTACAGCCAGCATAAATATCTCCTCGATTTTGATGTCCTCTAGTTCTGGACATAAGACTTGATTCACTACTCTACCTTGATTGTGTCATATCTATCAGAAACACAAGGAGCATCAACCTTTATCAATAATTTATCCCGGGAAGAAGATTCGTGAGACTTAAGAACTAGTTTGGAGTAGGGGCTTTAACTTTCTTTTTGAGGCATTGAAGAAACAGTAAGATTGCCTCATTTTGAGGTCCAAGTTTCTGCTAGGGCTTTATTTTTTTTTCCCGCCTTGTTATTTATTAACTTGTTTCTCATGTAAACACTCCCTCCCCCTTTCCCAAACAAGAGAGAGAGAGAGAGAATATGATTAAAAATGTTTCCCTTAACCTATTTGGCTTGTTTTCTTGCAGTAATATTGTCCAACTATTATGACCTGCCATTCAATGACATTCTTGATTGGCGAAAATTTGCTGTTGTCCTTCGAGAGAATGATGTGTATGATCTTAAGAAGATTCTAAAGAACATATCTCATGACGAATTTGTTTCACTACATAAGAACTTAGTTAAGGTAATAGCCTTCCTTTGCAATAGCGATTCATCATTTTTCACTAAAATTGAAGTTCAATTTATAATTATCTGCAGTTAATGATGAGTATTTCTTCTGCCATTCTCTTACCAGATTCAGAAGCACTTCCAATGGAACTCACCACCTATAAAGTTTGATGCATTCTACATGGTTATTTATGAACTTTGGTTGCGTCACCATGTAATCAAATACTAATTTGTTGATTTATTAATGGATGTAGTTCCTCTTCACCTTTGCACACGCAAAACGCTAAAATCTTGTAGTTTATGTACATGCTGGTAAATTTTTTTGCAAATTATTTCAACTATTAGTTTGTTCTTTACATACGGCTTAACCTTGTATTCAGAAAAAAAGGTAAAAGAGTTGGCTTGTAAACTGGCTAGCTTGAACTGACAAAATCCACATTACAAACAATTTGATTCAAGGTCACGCATTGCAAAGCTCAAGTTTGATCGTCAAGACTTCTTTGGTTATGGATGGCAGGATGAACTTCTGCTGATTGTTAGCTCAGATACTGTAATGTTGAGGTATGTCTTGAGTTGGATGACTTTTTGAATAACCATTTTATCATTGTCAGGATACATCATCTTACAAAAGAGTGGAAGAGGATAAGGAATTTGAAAGACAAAGCAGAAGTCACATCTTGTCGAAGCAGCTATTGGTTCCACTTCAGCCGGTTAAGTTGGGTTGGTCCTTGTGTTAGGATTCCGGGCCATGCCTGGCTAGCCCATGGACCAGATTCATTTGGTACGGGTATGACAAAAAATAAGGAAAGGAGAATGATAAAATAGTGGTGCTTTTCAAGTTCAGTTGGTATCTCAGTAAATCTTTTTAGAGATATATAGTCTTTTTTTTTTCTTTTTTCTTTTTTGCCAAAATTAGAGATATATAGTCTATTTTGCTAAAAATAAACCTGAAAGAAAAGTATTACTAGTATTATTATTTTATAAAAGTGGATTTTACGTGAATTATTCTTAAAACATGATATTTAATAAATATAAAATTCATTAGATGCCATTTTGATTAGGATTAATTAATTATATAGTGAATAACCCTTAATTAGGACTAATTATTGAAACAAATTTTGTAAAATATAAAAATTCAAAATTGAGGAGTATTAGGAAAGAAGCTTCACTTTATAAGTATGAAATATATAATCCAAAAAGAGCATATAAGTCCCAAGTAGAAGTTGATGTGATTAAAGTGTGCTTTATTTGTCTCATTTAGATGGCAAGAAAAGCATCTGAAAAATGGCCAAGTTAGAGGATAAGACAGCGCCGTACCAAAACCTTCCTTTATCCTTCATTTAACTTTTTCCTTATGTCTTGTTTGTGACTTTCAAACCATGTTTTAGAATACACTCCCTCTATTTCCATAATTGATCTTTGTAGCTTATTAGATCTAATCTAATCCCACATTTCAGAATTCAATTTATTATTATTATTATTATTATTATTATTATTAAACCTCTAATTTTTCTTTTAAAAAAAGACATAACTATTTTTGTATTTTTTGGTAAGACGCATCAATCCTTTTATTTTGAATTTTGATCTCAAAAAGGAATATTAATAATTTTTTTGGTGCATAACAAGAAAACCAACTCTTTTTTTATAAAAAAAAGTTATAATATAAAAATTAAAAAAAAAAGATTGGAAGCATTAGGATTTAAATTTTAAATCTAAATGTCAGTTTTAGTGTTATATATATCATGATACAAATATTCTATATCAATGTCATATGTGTAGATGCTAAGATTCCATTGATAAGGAGCCAGTTTGATCCCCATGAATGCATCCATAATTAGAAGTACTCTATCATTGTTGTTGGGAATAATAAAAAGGACAAAAGAGGATAAATATAAAGAGCATTGCTCATGTCCACTTAAGCTTAATTCAAATAGTATGTAGTTAGTGAGATTTTGTTAGAGATTTTTTCCATTTGTAATGCCTTGGATCAAAAGGAAATTAAAAAAAAAGAAAGTTAGTAGAGAAAATTAGGATTTTTTTTACATTATTAAACTGAGATTACCCTCAAAGCATTAAAATTTGGAACCCTTCTGTTTGTCCCCTTTAATGTAGCAAAATTTCATTTATTCATTTTGTATTTATAAATAAATTGATTTGTCATAAATTTATGTCTCAAATTTATGTCAACTTTTTTGTTAATTTTGAAGTTAAAATCATTTTTTTTATTTTTTCCCTTTGTCACTTTTTATTTTTTCATTGAACCTTCAACCCCTTTCTCTAATAATAATAATGCGTGCATACATATATATATTTATATATATATATATATATATATTTTATTGTGTTGATTTGAAAATTAATGAAAGGAATCATAGGATAGTTAATTATCAATTTTTAAACTTCAAAAGATGATTTTATTTGGCCTCTAATCACAAAGATTTTTTTTTAATATAATTTAACATTTTGTAATTTTAAAAAATAAATCAAAGAAAGAGGTTTGGCAATCATACAAATTAAGTTACATGAATGATGGTTTGTCCTCCACAAAAATAACATTGAATATTTTTATGTCCATGCTAACATTGATCACAATGGCATTGAATATTTGATTATCCCATACGCATTGACATCATGTCACAAATGGAAGTACGGTCCAAATTATATAACCTTTGATACTTGGAATTTATTCTTTATAAATCAACCGCGTTTGATCCACCATTAACTTCTCAAAATTTCATTGCACCATACCATGACAACAATACAACTTTAAAATAATAATAATAATAATAATAATAACAATAAATAAAATAATGTTTGGTTTTTGGTAGGTTTGATTCATCGATATAGTAAATATTTTTTTTATAAAGAAAGTTATAATACGATGATAAAAAATTATAAATATTAAAATTTAAATTTTAAATTTACATAATATTACTTTTTAAAAATAATTATATAAATTTATTGAGTTAAATTTTGGATTTTATGTAATAGTTATTCCAATATATAAAATCCTAGACTCTATGCATATATAAAAGTGATTATTATTATATTAAATTAACTCAATTGATTTATATAAAGTAATATCTAATAATTTTAAATTTTAAATTTTAATATTTACAATTTTTTTTTTTTTAAATTTTCTAACTGCATTTGAACTCTAGATTAATCGAGGAGGAAATTATTTTTGTGAACAAAAAAAGCTTGTCCGAAACAGGACAAGGCAGAGTTATGCAGGCATCCAGACGACGTAGCGGACTTATTGTCCTTGATACCTTGTTTGTATTATGAGACAAGTTCAAAGTTTCCCTGCATTCAATAAACTAACTGCCATTTTCATAGGAAAATTGTCTGAGAAACGACCCAGAAAAGATGGCAATCCAAGGACCCACATTCATTTAATATACACATTTTTCGCTTCATAGTCAATTACAAATTTTGTTTTTATTTCAAAGATTTTGTACTTCTTTGATTTCCTACACAATCTTTGAATGTAACCATGGATGTTTAGCTTTGAGTTTTGGTTTGTTTGCCTCGTATCTTCCTTCGCCTGTAAGAAAAATATAAAAATCGTTTTAGAATTTGAAACTTGCTTTTCAATATGGATATATTTTTTTTCTGGGATTCTTTGATATTTAAAAGTTATTTTGAACATCGATTAATTCAAAATTAAGTCAGATCAAATTTTATAAAAAGAATAAATTCTTAAATTTTATTATTTTTATTCATAAAATTTGAAATCGAATTTTATTTAAAAAAAATTGAATTCATTATCACATAAACCAAGACATCGATAATATAAATTTTTGTTTTAAGAAATTAGAGATATTTTTGAAATCTTAAATTTTAAATCTTAAAATTTTTAATACTTTGCATATATACCAATAAATAAATAATCACTAAATGATAATCGATGCTAATTTAACATGTAAATCTAAATAACCTAACTCCTATTTATTAGAGAAAAAAATGAAAGCCCCTCACAAAATTTTATAGAGATTCAACGTTAAATATTATTAAAATTCATAAAATTTGAAATCGAAATCTTATTTAAAAAAAATTGAATTCATTATCACATAAATCAAGACATCAATAATATAAATTTTTGTTTTAAAAAATTAGAAATATTTTTGAAATCTTAAATTTTAAATCTTAAAATTT